GATAGTGTGTCTATCGGCAAATCTTCATCTGAGTTACTTTCTTCACTATCCTCTGATGATGAGCCTGTGATTACAGATAACCGAAAGTGATCCATTTTGGCGTCGAGAAGATGTTCTTTTTCAATTTGTGTGTTCTCATAATTTACGTGGTTACAAATTTTATTCCACTCGTCTACTCCAATTTCCTCAGATGTGCTGCAGGGGTTAGATGCTTTACATCATGCAGCCTAAATGTCACATTTCGTGAAGCGACCCAATTCTTTGCGAGAGCCCAAATTTTCTCGATTGGGCTTAGTTCCGGATGATACGAAGGCAGCCGTAAAACTTTATGAAAACCACTTAAAATCAAGTATGACTAGATTCATTCTACGGTCACAATTTAAAAACTTTTAAGATGGAGATGAAAATGCAAAGTTACTTGAATATACTCGTTTTCTGCTCTCTTTAGGTATTTTTTGATAAGTGCATTCACTTATACCCCTGGCAGCTAACACACGTTTTCTAAATGTGTAAACCAGTTTTAATTGACAATAATTATAAAAATATTTGACATTTATACATACGGGTATTGTTGAAATGGAAACTTTAATCCCACTACATCTTCATGTATCATGAAGTTAGTGACATTGTTAATAATTTTCTGTCCTTTACTCCCAATTGCCTTTCCTTTCATGCTTACCTCCTTCGCGGACATTGTTTACATCACTCGATTAAAACTATTAATAATGTAAAGTCGAACAATAGTATTATTTTGGTTTAAGAAATTGTGAAGTTGTCTATATGTATCTGTGAAACAAACTAATACACTTGGATGAAGAAAACCATAGGGTTAACGATAAATTTGAAATCCTACATACACAAATTAAAAGTGTAAAGCTGACGTTCCTGGAATCCTTAGAAATTAGTAGACTTAAAAATACCGGCCATCTGCTAAACGATCAAATAGATTTGAATAATCCCGATGCTAAATCTCTACATTCGTAAGTAGCTTGAAGATTATAAGTATTTCTCAATCACATACATTTTACCTGTAATAGATGGATATGGGATATAAACCTTTCCGTTAGTCATGAGTTCAGTTTGTAAACTCATTTGGAAAAGGCACCCTTTTGTCATGTAGATTGTAATATAGTGCAAATTTTTACTATTGTTCAACTTTGAATAATGGATCTCCACCGAACATCGACAAACTTCATAAGATTATTAATAATTTGAACACGATCAAATACAAGATATTTTATGGTTACAATGAATCGAACAAACGTCAACAATCCCAACTGAAACTTGCGTATCTAAATATACTAAAAAACGTTCCGCCTATGGTTTAGAGGGAGTGGGAAGTCACTTATCAAAGTCAACAGCAAAAGAATTTCTGGACATTGAAGAATAGATACATTTTTAAGCTTTCTACGTTATAAATATACGCTAGGCTTAGAACTGGACCACATTAAGAGGGCGTTAACAGATGTCCATAAATCTGCCCGGAAACTGTCACAACAATTTCCTAAATTCTTATAGGGTACAATAAATGCAAGGGAGATGGTATAAAGTTATAATTACCATATGATATGTTCCAAATTAAAGCAATTTTGCTAATAACAAAGTTCAGAATAATAAAATCCTAGACTAATTGTGAAGCACAAAATAAATTTAATTAAAAAAATAATCATAAGCTGTTAATAATGGTACAAAAATTGTATTACATGAAATTATAAATAGATTTATTCGAAATATACGTTTTATAGTCTTATTAATAAAATGCAGGGTGTTATTTGAGTACGTGGCCAAACTTTAGGAGGTGACTCTGAACATTTTTTTTTAAATCGGCTTTTCCTAAATATCTTGATAAACTTTCAGTCGATTTTGCTCAAATTTAGCAGTGCTATTAAGGCGATAAGGGGCTAATTTGTCCCCAATTGGATTGAAATTAATGAGTCCAGTGGGGTTCCGAAAAACACCCTATCATCTTTGACAAAAAAATTTTGCGTCACAGACTTTTTAAAAATTTCTTTTGAATTAACCAGCTTAATGTACAGCTTTTTTGTCTTCTGAATTTTGTTCATGTCTCACTTCGTTTGCGAGAAAAAAAATAAAAAGCACGCATGTTTCTGATAATTAAGTTACAGGAAAGTCGTCCTTTGTATTTTTTTGCTCAGATTGTACCTGCGCTCGATAACACAAATAAAAAAAATATTTACATAACGTCATTTATTGTTGCAATGTTTTGACAGTGGCGTTGCACAATGGTAATGCTGGAAATTAAAAAAAATCGAACCGGAAAAACGTCTTTTTAAAACTACACAACTTTTATTTCAATGAAAACATTTAACAGCGAATAACACGAGACTTATAATAGTTACTGAAAATGCCTTCCTTTAAACTCAATGCAAGTATTATCTCGTCTAAACATTGATTGTCGAACTCGTTGGAATATTTCCGGCGTATGTCTTATCTGATCACATGAATCTCGTATCCGTTGGGTTAATTCTTGTTCAGTGCTGACTGGAGTTTTGTAAACTAGAGACTCATAATGCCCCCAAAAAAAAAAATCTAACGGATTCAAATCCGCTACAATTCTGAAGTGAGGTGAAGCACCCCGGGCATAAACATATTGTTCCTCTCACTTCCAGTGGGACATTTTCTAGTAGTTCAGGTAAACTAAATTCCAAAAAATTACAATACTCTTTGCCACTTAATCTTGAGTATAAAAAATGAGGTCCAATGAGATAATCACCTACAATAGCAAACCAAACGTTCACAGAAAACTGTTGTTGACAATCAATTTCCGTCAACACATGGGCATTTTCTTCAGCCCAGATATAATTATTGTGAAAGTTGATAATTGAATTTCGGGAAAAACACGCTTCATCGGTAAATAAAATACGGGAAAGAAATCTTGGAAACGCTACCTGTTCTTGAAAAGTACAATAAACGACTCGTTGGTGAAAATTGGCAGGTATAACGCTTGGTCACGCTATATGTGGTAAGGATACAGTTGATATTCCCTTAAAATCTGCCATACAGTAAAGTGAGAGATATTTAATTGTTTTGCAATTTTGCGTATACTTGCATTGGGGGCTATGCTCAACTTCATGTAAAACTGCTTCATCCATCTCCACCGTTCTGATGTGGCAGGTCTCCCAATTACAGCAGCCGACCCTTGAAAGATACCTAATTCGCAGATCCTTTCATCTATTCTCAGGAATGTTTGTCTATTTGGTTTGATGTAATGACGATATCTTTCTTGATGAATGCGCCTAACAGCTCTAGAAATGCTCAAACAAAATGCATCTCGGCCATTTCTGCGTTTTTGAATTGAACCATTTCCATTCTTAGCAATTTTCATTACTTGCGCACTGCTTTAAGTAAGTTATGTCAAAGTCAGATTTGCTTAAGTTGAGTTTTTCCTTTCATGGCACTCTTATTTTTTGTCACTTTTAAGACTTTGCTGTTATAAATCATTACGTTGTGCAATTATTTTATGTTATTCTGTTTTATCGAAATTAGTTTTGTATGTGTGCGAAAAAATTCAATGACGAAGTGAGATATAAAAGAAAATCAATATAAAAAATAGTTGTATTTTCAGCTGCTGAAAAAATAGAAAAATTGAAAAAAGTCAGTACCACACAAATTTTTTGTAAAAGATATTAGTGTTTTCCGGGACGCCACTGGACTTAATAATTTCAATCTAATTGGAGCTAAATTAGTCCTTCATTGCCCTTAATACCACAGCTGAATTTAAACAAAATCTACTAAAAGTTTATCAAGATATTTGGGAAAAATCGATATAAAAAAATGCCACACGCTGTACCTTGAAAACGAAGCATTTCCGGGCCTATGTTTATATAAGCTTCAAAAGAAGTAAAACAAGGAAATAAATTTCTTAAAACAAGCCTTTATTAAAAATTGACTAAACATTAAAAAATACTTTTTCCGAATGGAATTATTCAAACGATAATGAATCTCCTTTATCCCAAGTTTTGAAATAAAGTCATGCTGCGTTTTGACAACGGGATGGAAAAAAATTGTAACACATATTCCGTTGAAAATTTCAGGTAAAGAAGCATTATCGTTTAAATATTTCCAATTTTAAATTTTTCAATCTTCAGTTCATTTGCTAAACAGCTAAACAAAAGCTTGGGTTTAAACATGCATTTTCTTTCTTCCACTTATTTTTTTATACTTTCATGTTCATCAGTTTATCAATGAGTAATTCTGTGTTTTACGACCTTCAGCATTTTGCAGCGCCAATCAAGGGTGCTCGGATCACAACCGTGACAATACTGGAACCCTTTATTAGCATCTGACATGAGGGTCGATTGCAAATGGGCCAGTTACACAAATTTTGATTTTGTTTGCTACATAAGCCTAAGCAATATGACAAACAAAATATACAAGGTGATTCAGAAAATGTTGGCAATATTTTTGATGTAGTGAGTAGGTCCAAAAATAACAAGAAACGGTGTTATAAATATGGGTCCAGGGTACAGGGTGCTGGAGTTTTAATATTTGAATTTCGTATATCTAGTACTAACAGCATAGTCAATACATATAAACATGTCCTTACCTGATTTTGAGCCTTGCTGACTTTTGCATGAGGTAATTAATTTTACTCGATTAAATTGTTTTGTATCTCTAAAAACTTCAACCACTTCTACTTTAAAAATATGCTGAAATTTGACATTGAAAATTGTATGTAGTGTATTAGGAGAGTTATCTTAGCTCATAGCGTTATTTGGGCAATATTCAAATTCTATTCTTATTCAGTTTCAGCAGTGGCGTAGAAATCTACAATACCCTGTGTCTTGGTAACAGTTTAGGACCTATGACTACACGAGCTACTTCTACTATTTCTTTATTAAAAACCACAACAGGTCTTACAGAATCGTGTAACTCATTCATGCAGTGAACCTACACCAGTATTTTGAGTACTATTTGAGTGTTGGAAACTCTGAAAATTTTGTACAATATGGTTGACTCTTTTTTGTTTCTTTTTTCAGAGAATGCAACCAGAGACTGTCTATGGAACGGCACCTGGTCAAAATCTAACTACACGATGTGCAAGGAGATCATCGTGCTGTCAACGGACGTGGAAACGCAGACGACGATCTATTTCGTGGGATACACGCTCAGTTTGGTCACACTCACCATCGCAATGGCGATATTCACATATTTCAAGTAAGTATAGCAAAATTCAAGAGGGCCTACCTTGTATTCATATATTACGGACTATAGTTTAAACAGCTTGATGAATTTTGACATATGAGTTCTCTAGATTTGTCTTGACATCGCGAGTGAGGTATTCTGAAATTTTACAGAATCGGAGTGGCGGATTTTCATCGGAAATTTGAACTTTGAAGTTCTCATTCTCCGGGCCACAGCTTAAGAGGCTTGATGGATCTTGACATATGAGGTGTTTCTAGATTTATCTGGACAATGCAAGTAGCGTTGGCTATATTAAAATGGTATAAAATAAAAATAGCGGATTTTAAAGATGCTAACTTTTTGGATGTTATATGACGTGTACATCACGAAACACCATGTCACCCATTTTTGTCGGTTCATCTGTCGCTCAGTCCGATAATCCTGAATGATGAAGTTGATTAAACAACATTTTTACTATGATATAAATGTAAATACCTTGTAGTTTCCGGAAATCGGTACAGTGACGGCGGAGTTCAAAAAAGGAATCAGGAAGCCACTATAACTTCCTTTTGTAACGTTCGAGAGGCTTCTGGTCGTTTTTTGAAAAGAAATGGTAAGAAGTAGGGGTTGTAGGTGTTGCATCTTTAGTATCAGCTAAATACGTTTATGATCTCGGTAGTAATGCCCACCTGTTAGAGTCAACATCACACTTACTCCTTACAAAACTGACGTCTGTGACTTCAGGAACACGAGCTACCCAGGAACAGGCGATAGCCTTTACCTGCGGATGCTCCGTGACGATGTAACGATATCAAGACATGCGAAAGTGGATAGTAGAATGGGTATAACTGAAAATTAGTTTTGGGTCATAGCAACTCTTACAGCTGGTGATGTTACAGAATAAATATAATTGAATTGTTATTAAAGATTTATTTTAAATAATCGTCTCTGACTATAGATGGTGCATAATATCTGTATTAGTAGTAACATTCATTCTTGTTACACTGCTCCCTTCCTAAAGTCATTCCTTCCCGGAATGACCTTACTGGTGATGGATGTCGATATCGGCACGACTGCCCCTTCTTGCAGCAGGAGTTCTTGAAGAAGTAACAATCCACACTCTTTCCAGAAGGTAGCCGTTTTGGACTGTGACAACATACCAGAAATCGAATGCCTGTATACCGGAAGACTACCTGAAGCATGGTTCGGATGATTCTCCGGTCCAGTTTGTCCAGTCCACATGCCAGCTTAGATATTGACAGTTTTCTCAGGTCCTCGGCAAGCAACACTTCTCCAAGAGAACACAAAGCGCTCCAGACTTCCTCGTAATTCAGTTTCTGATGCGAAGCTTTCTTAGTAACCAGATAGAAGATCTTTCGGTTGGTACCCTCTTCAATTATCTGGAGTACTTCTCCGACTTCCGGGATAGATTGTCGGAGCTCGTGCACTCCTCCAAACTTCCTGATAAAGACATTCGCTGTACCCCTCGACACTTGCTAGTCTTGAGCCACACATTGTGCCAGAGCATACTCTGGTGAAGTGGTAAACAGATCTTGCTGTACCTCACATGTCACGCCATACCGACTCTTATGGCCATTAGCATGGTGGGTCATAAATTCGTCAAATGTCACGTCCGGTTCTGGTTGTATTTGCAGCACCGCTGTATCTTCGTTGGTCACATGATAAGGGGCAAGTCGGTTGAAATGTACAATTCGGGCTACCGCGTTGGGCCTTCTGAATCCTGTAGAGAACATCGGTTATCGCTTCCAGAACTTTATATAGCCCGTCCCAGGATGATTGATGTTTAGGCGACAGCCCTTTTCGCCTCTTTGGGTCGTAAAGCCAAACCGTATCACCGTTGTCATACCTCTGGAATTTGGCATCAACAACATAAGCTTCCTTTATCCTGTCGCTCGCATCTTGAACTGAAACACGAACCTTTCTATGGGTGGCGTCCATTCTTCTACGCAGATCACTTACGTTAGTCTTCTCCGGCAATATCAGCTCCTGATGGACAGCCAAACTTCAGATCGCATGGGAGACGAAGTACTCGTCCCATACCTATTCGAGCCGGTGTCTCTCCAGTGCTTTCATGAATCGACGATCGGTAAGCCAATAAGAAGAGGTGAAGAAAACTATCCCAGTATCTTTGATGGCTAGAGACTACCTTAGCCAAATACCGGTTAATGGTCCTATTCACGCGCTCCACCGTTCCATCTGACTGCGGGTGTAAGCCATCAGTCCTGGTATTTTTAATCCAAAGAATTTGACAGATAGTTTGTAACAGATTTGAATCGATTGCGCCCTTGGTCCAAATGCAACTCTAAAGATACACCAAATCGACAGATCCATTCCTTTACTAAAGCATCGGCTACCCTAGAGGCTTGCTGATTTGGTGGAGCGTATGCCTCAACCCACTTGCTGAAGTAATCCATTACCAGAATGATGTAGCTATTTCCTGCTTCACATTCTGGAAATGTTCCCGCCACATGAATAGCAATCCTTTCAAAGGCTCCCCACGTTGTATTGGCGCACACACACAGTATTTTCTGCACCAGTCATTTACGTCCGCCTTGCTGTTGACCCAGTAAAACCTTTCCCATACTTTTCACAAGGTTTTTGTAACTCCGAGATGACCTCCTGACACAGCGGAATGGATTTCTTCTAGCAACTCCTGAATCCAACATCTGGAGATCACGATTTGCATTCTCTCCTCTTTGCCGTCGTGGTCCACCATTTTACGCAGTAAGAGTTCATCGGCCATAACTAGAGAATTCCATTGTGTTCAATATGATTCTATAGTAGCGGAACTTCTTCCTAGGCTGGTTTCCGTTGTTCTTTCATCCAGTGCAGAGTTATTTGGACATCGAGGTCGCCCTTCGCTTCGTTCTGGGATGATGGTGTCTTCAGATAGAACTGCTACGTTTCCATTTCCTTCCCAGTGTAAAATGACCTCCTCATTGTTGACTCTCAAGATTCCATGTATAAAGTTCAACTCGAATCCCTTTGTGTCCATGATGTCCATTCCGATGATTACCTCCTCCTCAATATCAGCTACTATCGCCGGATGTTCGAATGTAGCTTTTTCTAATCCAAATGCGATGTTTACTTCACCGTACACGTTTGCTCAGTCTCCCGTCGCCGTTCGTAGTCGCCATTTGGATGGTAGAATCTTCGCCGATGCTTTCACCATGTCGAGCCTTATGATAGTCTTTATCGATATGGTGTCGAGAATCCCATCCACAAAAGCATCGACAAAAACACTATTAGACTGATGCTTAAGCGGGGAGACTTGGACTGTATTACCTGATGGGGCTTGTTGGCTACAGGTCGACGATAGCCCCTTTACATCGACCTTCCTTAGTTTTCCGGATTGGCCGGATGAGGACTAGCACCTTCAGGACAGAGTCTCCTAGCATGCGCTATTTTTCAACATTTCCAACATCCCAACTTACTGTTCTTAACGGACTATTCGAGCTCGTTATCTCTTGGTACCATCTGGCGGACTGGGACCTGGCTTTTATTTGTGTTTTTAGCGGCTTCGAATTCTAAGGCGAGTTAGCGCATCTTCTAGCTTAACATAGGTGGGTGTGCTAGTAGTAATTTCATTTCACCATCACGAAGTCCATCCAGGAATGCTGGAGCTGCCAATCGCTCCATTATCCTTTCCTGGACATCGGGATATGCTAATCGTACCAACCGCGCAATACGAGTATCGACTTCTGGAACCGATTTCTTAGTTGAGTATGGTAGACATATTCTAAATGTGACCGGCCGTATCGCATCACCAATTGTCCTACTAGCTGTGGGTGATATTCTTTGAAGAATAGCTGCAGCATTTCCTCGTAGGACCAAAGTGAGTGCAGTTGCCTTTTCGGTCGATGACTGACACCGGTAGACATTCCAAGGCATTGTACCATCAAATTGCGGCGGTTTCATTCGCAGATGACCAGCTGACCCAACAGAAGCTCCAACCTCATTTGATTTTTCTTGGCGTCTAAAGCGGCAATTCGCCTTGCACTTCTTGAATTCTGCCCTCCAGAGTTTATAAAATCTGTTTTTTCAACTCGCAAGATTTTTCCATAATTTTATCTTCCAATTGTTTTTTCAAATCGGCACAAACTTCTCTTTTAGTTTGGCTGTACTTTCGTGTAAGTCCAGGAGTTTTCCTTCTAGATCATTTCTAGATGGACACAATTTTGCACGAGCCTATTTTCTAACCTGGTTGAGCTTTCTAAAAGATCGGCACAATTTTCCACGAGCTTTGCGTCTAGGTTGGCATAATTTTCCACAAGCCTATTTTCTAACTTGGCTGAGTTTCCCAAAAGATCGGCACAATTTTCCATGAGCTTTCCTTCTAGTTTTGTACAATCTACCTCGAGCTTGTTTTCTGATTTGGTCGAAAGGTTTTGCAGCATTAAGCCAATATCCGCGGCAACGGTAGAAATGAAAATATCTGGGTCCTGCCTTTCTTAATCAGTGATTTACGAAGCCGCTCCTCTAATTCCGTTTTCTTTCCAGCCGTGTCGTACTCTCTTTCCTCCAGCTCTCTTTTTAAATCGGCAATTTTCAAATCAACCAATCGCGCCATTCTTCCTTCATTGATCGTCCGATTTATTTTCACTAAATGTCCAATAATCTACACCCTACATCTGACATCAATGTAGTGTTTTTCTGAGTTCTTCAAAAGGATATGCACCAATTTATTTAAAACAGAACACAACTAACTATAACTTAACTAGATAGAACATTTATCTACACCACTATTTATGTCTGAGTTCTTATTTACGAATTTTATGTCGCGCTATTCACTCAACTCTGCTACCCTCTCCCGGCCGTCGGCTCTCTTCTCGAAGGAGAGTGCCTCAACAGATGACGCTAGTAGTAACAATTAATTCTTGTTACAGTATACTCAAAGGCCATTTGTCTAGAATAGCATGTGAAGTACAATCTACTTGCCTCTACTCACCATTTATTTCAAATACGCAACTC